TCTGGAGAAACATCCTTCACATTCTAGTTCTAGGACCTCCATTAAATCCTGTATCCAAGTGAGGGGGACAGATCAATGTGACTCCAGGTCTTCATTCTAGTAGTGCAGATGCACTGCATGGCTGCATCACTTCCTGTTTTCCTAGGCAACGAACCTCATGATGTAAGATTATACATTTTGTTATAACTGAATAACTGATAGGTATTCATTTTAATACAACTATTCAAGAATATTTAGTATAGAAAATTACTTCGTGAGAATTTATGAACAATATCTTCTTGAGTAGGTGGCTGTCAGATTCAGCTAGGTGGCTGATTGTGACCAACAAACCCCAGAAGGGCTTACAGGAACTTAGAAGAGTTGCATGCAAGAATGGAGTGAAGAATTCTGGAGGTGCACTGACCATGGAGGTAAGCATAATGCAAGCTTCTTATGACATAAAGTAAACACAAGCTTGATGTGTGTATGAGTTAATACCCAGGAAACAATGTGCCATCATTAAATCATTGAATACAGTTCTTTCATTCAAAGAAAACTTTGTAAAAACAAACAAACAAAAAAGAAAAACACTTCATTGATGATTTCTTTCACTTTTAAACTTTTTATTAGGATATATAAGTTATACATAATGCATTAAGTCTGAAATTTTTTACATGCATATAATGCATTGATTTATTTATACCCCCTCATTATTACCAAACCTAATGATTTTCATATACTTCTAACTAGTCCTATTTCTACTTTCTAGTATCCTAGCCTGTCTTTTTGTATCTTCTTTTTTGTGATCTAATTTGTCTAGTTTAGGTCATTTACAGAAACATATTGAGGATTTACCTACAGGAACATGAACCACTTAGATGTGGGCACATGACTGAAGAAATGTCTATTTCTCTCTCAGCAACCATTAGCTGCCAATATATCCTCAGGAGGGAGTATGGCTTTATGAGGCCCTATGCACTAACAATGACTGACTACATACCGGTTGTGAAATGGAGATGGGGCTCCTCAGCTGTTCTCTCAATAATGTTAGCATTCAGACATGCCCCTAGGGACTGGCCCAGCATCCTGACAATATCATCTTATGTAAAGTCTTCTTTAAGAGAAACTCCCCTATCTCTCTCTCTCTCTCTTCCTTCCTTTCCCTTGTCAAAAAGGCACACATACCTCTATCTCTCTCTTTGTGTATCTGTCTCTCAAACCTCTCTTCTCTCCTTTCCTGACTCGCACTCTCTTTCTCTACCCTCTCTTCAATCTCTCTCTCTCTCTCTCTCTCTCTCTCTCTCTCTCTCTCTCTCTCTCTCTCTCCATCTCTTCCCCCTTCTCACTTTCCCCCAATAAAGCATTCCCTGTGGGTGCTGTGTCTGCACGGTGTGAGTGACTTTCTACCATGCACCCTTGCCTGCTGCCGGCCATGTCTACATGGCATATCTCCCTCACCTACCATGGAGCACATTGGCTAAAACCCACCAAGGCCTCTCTCCCGCCATTTTAACAAAAATACACCATCTACCCTCACAGACGGTATATTGACTGGCATAACATTGGCAAGTCTTATGCAGGTAATCACAGCTGATGAAAGTTCATAGTCTAATGCATGTCTGTAAGATGGAATCACTCATTTCTCCACCACTTCTTCTAGACCTTTCTTCCCCTTTTCCATGATGTTTCTGTAACCTGGAGGGCGGTGACAGAGACATTTCCCTTGGAGAAAAACACTGAACAGTCACTTACTTTGACAATTGTGAGTCTTCAATGACTGCTCACTAAATACAAAAAAGTTTTTTTTAAGATATTAAGGCTGACAGCATCACTATCCTATGGCCATGAACAAAGATATTTAAAAACTACTTAATTTTTTAGTGCTTAGAAGATTCCATTATGAGCCCCAGATGCCAGACATGGACCTTCAGTATTAAATGTTTTCATTTCTGAGGTTCAGTCCTGCATAGGTACAGTCATTTGTTCTTATATCCCCACACTTCTCTTTTAAAATAGGAACATTTATTCTGTTCCCATGAATACTAGAAGTAAAACATCTAGTTTATTATATAAAAGTTTGGATTATGAAGGGAAAAGCATTGTTGACATATTTTATTTATTTTCAAAATAAAGAAGTATTTCACAGGGCACTGGGGAGAAAGAGACTCTCTTGAATCTCAGATGAACCTTGGACTCTGGACTTTTAAATTATTTGTGTAACTCCATCGACTAATTCCTATCAGGACATGGAGATAAGAGTTGGAAAGTTATGGTTCAAAGGTGATGTGTTCTGATGTGAAGCTGACAAAAAATAGAGCTGTGGTGGTTAATTTTGATTGTCAGCTCAATAAGATCATCTAGGAGAAAACCTCCAGGCACATCTGTGAGGGATGACTTAGTTTTTAGTTCAGCTTCTGGCCACCCCTCTGTGGGATTATCCTGATTATGTTAACTGAGGAGGGAACATCCACTCTAAAGAACAGAAGACCAGC